GTTGGATATTAGGAAAAACTTTTTCACTAGGAGGGTGGTGAAGCACTGGAATGGGTTACCTAGGGAGGTGGTGGAATCTCCTTCCTTAGAGGTTTTTAAGGTCAGGCTTGACAAAGCCCTGGCTGGGGTGATTTAGTTGGGGATTGGTCCTGCTTTGAGCAGGGGGTTGGACTAGATGACCTCCTGAGGTCCCTTCCAACCCTGATATTCTATGATACTATGGAGTGATCACATCTGCACGCAGTATTCAAGATCAGGGATGGTCTAGACAGTATTTGGTCCTGCCATGCTGGCAGGGGACTGGACTCGATGACCTCTCGAGGTCCCTTCCAGTCCTAGAATCTATGAATCTATGTGGACGTACCATGTATAGAGGCCATATGATATTTTCTGTCTTATTATCTATCCCTTTCGTAATGATGCCCAACATTCTGTAAACATTTTTGACTGCCACTGCACACTGACTGGATGTCTATCCCCTGCCCAAAGCAGCAGGAGAAATAGCCTGGGCTAGCTGAGAGTGGAAAACTGACCTGCACTCCCAGGGGTGGATGGGAAATGTAGTTCTTTTTTCCTCCTTGGGAGCTCGCTCTCCCCCTTGGAAACTGTAATCCTTCTCCACAGCTGGGGTCATCAGACAGTCAGGCTCAGGCAATCCTCAGGCAGTGTAGTGCAGCTCCCCCAGCTCTGAGCTGAAGCTCAGCAGCCAGCTAGTTTCCTGCAGCATCACCGGGGATGTGATTGTGAGCCTGGAGGAAGTGAATAAGCTTTTCCCTCATTCATGCTGAGCATCCCACATCTGCCCATTGGGCCCTGTTGTTTTCTTGCTCTCCTGGGGAGAGACCTTCATTAAAGCCAGGGCCGGCTCCAGGCACCAGCCTGGCAAGCAGGTGCTTGGGGCGGCCACTCTCGGCGGAGGGTCCCTTACTCCTGCTCAGAGTGAAGGACCTCCCGCTGAATTGCCGCTGCAGATGGCAATCGCGGCTTTTGGGGGGGGGGGTGCTTGGGGCAGCAAAAACCCTGGAGCCGGCCCTGATTAAAGCCCCCACTGTGCTCAGCCTATGGGGTGGACTTTCTCCAGTGGCTGGAAGCAACCCTGGGGCAGCCCCAGGCTCTGCCGACACCAGCCCCTGAGCCGGAGCCTGCCGGTGAGGGGAGAGACCCGGCGGGAAGGGATGGGGCCAGGCAGGAAAGCGAATCTGCACAAACAGCCCCTCCTCACCCCAGCTCTGTTCCCGGGGGTCTGCGAGTCCCAGAGCTGCTGCCCTCCCTGACCCCTCCCCCAGGCTCTGCTCCCCTGAGCACCTGCAGGAGCCGAGCCAGCTCTGGGGAAATTGTATAAACCCTGCACTTGGTCTTTCTCTTGTGTCTGTGCCCCGTTCCAGCGCGTAATAAATGTGCATGCAGGATCCCAGGTGAGGGTGGGGATCACTCCAGTGTCATAGAGAGGGGCCACTCTGTGACAGGATTGCTATACCTGTGTAGTATGCCAGGTGGGGGGCTCACCAAGGCCATGCAATAATACTACCTCGCGCTTGTACAGGAGCACACCCACTTCCTATCTAGGACTTCTCATCAGTAGATCTCAAAGCGCTTTACGGAGGAGGTCAGTTGTCACTGACCCCTTTTTACAGATGGAGAAACTGAGGCAAGCTCCAGTCACCCATGCCCCCTCCCACCACCTCCTCTTGACCACCTGTGTATTTTTCTTCTAGTGGTTTCTTTATTTGCCTTTACATCTCCTCCAGTGGTGCCGGAATGACTGTAATAGTGTATGTGGGGTGGGAAAGCCAACAAAAGTTGGGGGACAGCTTGGGGAGGCCAAAAGGAGCAGAGGGGTGACTCCCAACAAGAGCCCTCCCGCTACCTGTGCCCGGATGCTGCTCCCCATGAGTGCCCCCCCTTTCTGGCTCCGCTCATAGCAGCTATTCCCCCATGGGCAAGTGTGACTACTGCGTAGAACAGGACACCTGGGTTCTTCTGCCACTGGCCTGCTGGGGGACTTTAGCCAGGTCACTTCTGCTCTCTGGGCCTCTGTTTCTCCATCTGTAAAAGGGGGGTTAATTATAGTGTCCCCAGCTCCCTGTGCTCACCAGCCACCAAGGGCCTATGTTCTCCAAAGTGTGTGTTTGGGTGCGGAATGAACGTTGTCCGTCTCCCTCCCCCCCCCCCCCCAAGTCTCTGTCACCTCTGATCTCTGTAGACCAGCTTAGACTCCTGTTGGGTCTTTCCCTGTCCTCCTCCCAGCAAACCCTGCTGTGTGTCTCAGAAGCTTCAGAGGGGAAGGAGTGTCTGATGTTCCATTCTGTGCACTGTGCTGTCCCCGATGAGCCCTAGTCCCTGGGCCAGGGTCCCTTTGAGCTAGGTCAGGGGTGGCCAACCTGTGGCTCCAGAGCCACATGCGGCTCTTCATAAGTTAATATGTGGCTCCTTGTATAGGCATCAACTCCGGGACTGGAGCTATAGGTGCCAACTTTCCAATGTGCCGGGGGGTGCTCACTGCTCAACGCCTGGTTCTGCCACAGATCCTGCCCCCACTCTACCCCTTCCCGCCCCTTCCCCTGAGCCTGCTGTGCCCTTGCTCCTCCCTGGACCTCCAGCCTCCTGCTTGCTAGGAAACAGCGGATCAGGAGGGAGGGGGAGGTGCTGATCGGGGGTGGGAGGCACTGGGAGTGGGGGGGAGGAGTTGATGGGGAGCTGCTGACATATTACTGTGGCTTTTTGGCAATGTACATTGGTAAATTCTGGCTCCTTCTCAGGCTCAGGTTGGCCACCCCTGCGCTAGGTGCTGTACGAACAATAACAGGATGAAGAACAGGAGTACTTGTGGCACCTTAAAGACTAACAAATTTATTAGAGCATAAGCTTTTGTGGGCTACTGCCCACTTCTTTGGATGCATATGCATAAATTTGTTAGTCTTTAAGGTGCCACAAGTACTTCTGTTCGTTTTGCGGATACACACTAACACGGCTGCTACCCTAAAACCTGTCAGAATAACAGGATGCATGATCACCCCTGGGCTGCAGCTTCCACTCTAGCTTCCTGCTGGGCTGTTATGTGGTGTGGGAACCTGAACACGTTTTGGGAGGGTCCTTCCTGTGCAGGACTCCTGGGTTCTGCTCCGGGCTCTGGCACTGACCTGGTGCATGATCCGGAGCAAGCCACAGCCCTTCTGTGCCTCAGTTTCCCACCCATCAAACACAGATAATAATGAGATTTGCCTTTCTTTGTGAAGCACTTTGAGATGTCTGGCTGGAGATTCCCATGTAAGTGCTGAGGGCCAGATCCCCAGCGGGTGTAAATTAGCATAGCTCCATGGGAATCAGTGGAGCCAGATTCCCCGCGGGTGTAAATTAGCATAGCTCCATGGGAATCAGTGGAGCCAGATTCCCCGCGGGTGTAAATTGGCATCACTCCCTGGGGCCCAGATCCACATCAGGTGTAAACAGCCATAGCTTCTACAAACTCAGCCGAGCGGTGCTGCTTTACATTCGGCCTGCGCCTGGCTCCCGAGGCCGGCGGGGACCAGCCACCTCCCCGCGGGGCGCTGCGGGCACACGGGCATGGGGAGCCCGGCTGCAGAGCACGCCCCTGGCTGGGACCGGATTCCCGACACACACTCCCCGCAGGCGGCTGGGCCGGGGGCAGAATCCAGCTGGCCAGATCCGTCCCGTTTGGGCCATGTTCTGCCCCGGGGGGAGCGCAGCGATGCGGATCCAGGAGCTGGTGCCACCAGAGGGCTCTGGTTATTGCGAGGGGACGGGAGGCTGCTCCGGCTTATGCCTCTGCTCCCTTCCTCTGTATTTTCTTCTCCTTTGCTCAGGATATCAGGGGGCTGAGCTTCCTGGGTCAGACGCTGAGTGCCAGCAGCTGCGTCCATAGTGACCCAAGAGCCAGGAGCGAGCAGCTGCTGCGCCAGGGAAAGACCTTCAGCAAAGCGCCCTCTGCGCCCAGCCCACAGTGGGACTTTCTCCGGTGGTGGGACCTGCCCCGGGCTCTGCCCCCGCCAGCTCCTGAGCCGGAGCCTGCAGGTGATTGAGAGAAAGAGAGAGAGAATTCGGTCTTGGCTATGGCCGGACTGTAAAAATGGCTCCTTCTTATCCTCCCCATAATCTCTGCTCCTCGGGGGTCTGCGAGTCCCCGAGCTGCTGCTGTCACTGGCAAGCCCGGGCTCTTTCCTCTCTGCATGAGTGGATCCAGAAGTTAGCAGTCTCCTCTGTGTGTGTGTGTGTGTGTGTGTGTGTGTGTGTGTGATTTAACTTGCTGAAGGCGGCATGGGGCTGCGGTTGGCTGTGGGTGGGAATGTAAATTGGATTTTAAAAAGCGCCTGTATGATCCTGCACTGAGAAGTGGGATTTAATTAGCCAGCGCTTGCAAAAGTATCTTTGCTAGAGAAGGAGAAATATGTTGCCAGCAACAATAGAAAATGCAATCAGACCTGAAAATCAGCGGCTAGCGCACAGGATTGAAGGGTAGAGAATACATTTGTAAAGAGCGCTGGCCCTGGGAATTGCAGGTGAGAGAGCCTGATTTCCGTATCTGGAAAATCTCTTTCCAGCAATATTTAAAGACCGTTCTAAACCCTCAGCTTCATAGGCTGATAGGTCAGTATTATGTGATAGAGACTAACCAGCATAGCTTCTAAGCAACATCATGCTCTCAGCCTTTCCAGACTACTGTCCCCCTTTCTGGAGTCTGATTTGTCTTGTGTACCCCCAAGTTTCACCTCACTTAAAAACGACTTGCTTAAAAAAATCAGACTTAAAAATACATGAGACTCACAGCATGCTATTACTGAACAGTTGCTTTCTTTCTCATTGTTACCATATCATTAGAAAACAAATCAATTGGAATATAAATATTGTACTGACATTTCAGTGTATAGTATATAGAGAAGTATTAACAAATCATTGTCTGTATGACATTTTAGTTTGTACTGACTTTGCTGGTGTTTTTATGTAGCCTCTTGTAAAACTAGGCAAATATCTAAAGGAGCTGCTGTACCCCCTGGAAGAGAACTCCAGGTGGAGAACTACTGCAAATAGTAGACAATGGAGAAGCAGTAGACAGGTTTAATTTGGACTGTCAAAAACTTTGACAAAGCCCCTCACAAAAAGGTTATGAAGGAAACTAAATGATGATGGGATGAGAGGTAAAGTTCTGTTCTGGGTTGGAAATTGGCTAAGAGACAGGAAACAGGATCAGAGGGGTAGAAGTGAGGTTCTTACCCATGAAAGCTTATGCTCCCAATACTTCTGTTAGTCTTAAAGGTGCCACAGGACCCTCTGTTGCTTTTTACAGGAAACAGTAGGTATACATGGCTAGTTAATGAAGAGGCAAAAACTTAATAGCAGGTCCACACTAGGAGGTTTAATATATTGGTGATTCGGAAATGGAGTGGCCTCCTTTGCAGATAACTAACTGCAAGAGTTTTGAGTCAATGATTAACTCGTAACCATTAACTAACCCAGCTGGGCAAGTCCGTGTCAATGAATGCCCTGCAATGCACAATGGAGAGAATGATTTGAACCCACTGCTGGGTTGTAAATTGGTGGAAGTGGGTGAAAACAAATGGAGGCAATTTTCAGTGACTCGAGGCATGGGTTCCCGACTCCACAGGACTTGCTTTTGTGGTTGACTAAGAAGATTTGTGTCCGCTGCCCAAGGAAAAAGATTTAAAAAGTAGAAAATAGTTTAGCTTTGAAACACGGGCTAAAACCAGAACAAATACACCAGCTGAGCAAGCACAGACACTGGACAGGCACTGCTCGGATTTACCCTCTGCATGTGGCCCAGGGTAGGTGGGACTGGCACATGGAAATCACATGGGATAGACCATCAACACAGAACCCCTCATAATGCCTTTTCCAGAGTCCCTGCTTGGGACAGATCAGTATTTTAACTCTTCCTTTCTGCTTCCCCCCAGGCTTTTGCCTCTTTTCCCCACCTGACCCCACCCTGAAATCAAGGGGCGTAATTCTCCATCTGCCTTGCACTTTGTTGCAGCCTGGTCGCATCCATGCAAAGCAAATGCAAAAGGTCCAACATTCTGATCTGGTTTGACTTTTGCACCCACCCTGCATAGATGTAAATGATCCACCTCCAGGGGTAATTGTAACACACTTAAAGACCTAGATTGTATGGCCAGAAGGGACCTCTTTGGTCACTAGTCAGACGTCCTGTGTAGGATTTCACCTGGAGATTCATGCAGTGAAGGTGGGGATTTTATTCTTGATCCTTATAAAGTGTGTGTCACCCTCTCGGAGGACAGAGGCTGCTGTAAGAGGCTATTACTGGCACCAGCTGCTGAAGTTCCTCCTTTAGTTCAAGAGGCTTAAATATGTGCTTTGGTGCCAGAAGGCTCTGTGTTCTAATTCTGCTACTGACCTTTCTCTGTGCGTGGCTCTTTCACAAGGCTGTGGGAACCCTTGTACCCTTAATTATTGGGCTCAAGAGAGGTTATTGTAATTTGATGTCCATGTGGAGCTGAAATTTAGCCAACGGATTAGGGTCATTTCCTTGGGGATAGGCAAACTGGAGGCTTGACTGCCATGCGGCAGTGAAAGAGGACCGTGTTTTGTATATTGCTTGAAAATCTTACACTGTTTCAGGACTGAAGTTATGAAAAAATTTAAACCAAGCCCTTTTCTCCAAATTTCCTGCACCAAATGCCATGGGATAAAATCGCAAGAATACAACAATGAGTTTCCAGCCTCCTAAACTGCAGAGACGCTTGAAAATGTGACCCCTATAGGCTCAAAAAAACAGGTAGAAAACACCCTTCTCTCCCCCCCCCCCCCCGGATTTATCATGATTTTTAAATCTCGTTATTTTTTGGTTGAGGCCTGAATGTTTTGGGGTTGGCAATACTGTAGTTACCCTTCCCTTTCAGCTACCCTCTTCCCCCCCCCCGCCCACACACCTGTAACACATGCGTCTCCCCTCTAGTGACAGAAACACATAGAGCTTAGAGCTGGCTCCTGATGGTGGGGCCCACCATCTCGGTCTCTTAGGTCCGGCAATTGCAGCTCATGCTGTTGGATCTAGAGGTTGCAGGTTTGAGCCCCACCCAGGAATGGGTATCTTACCTTTCTGCTTCTAGCCAAGAGAGGGTGAGGGGTCCGATGTCCTCAGTAGATGAAAGGGATCTGATCTCTTCCCCTCCCTCCATTCTCATCTTTGGCTGAGTCTGTTCCTGGCTTGGAACACAGCAAAGATGGGACCATGGTGGGGGCTGCCAGAAGGATGCAGCCACTGGATGGAGTAGCTGAAGCTGGTTAGCATAGACTTTTCCAGATCAGCTGGTCTGTCTTGCAAGCGCAGCTGTTTCCCTCCAGCACCTGTGTCAACTGCACAGAGTAGCCCCTGGATATGGGGGAGGAAGGGGAAACCCCCCCCAACACATCCTTCTGAGACTCCACACTCCCCATTGCCCCTGCTCCACGCCTCCTGCTATCAGCTCCTGCCCCATTGAAATGACTGGGAATTGAGTCTCCTTGCTGTTTCTGAAAACGTCACCCCTTAGTTCTAGAGATGGTTGGAGACACCTGGATGGAAACCTTATGCCATCGGAATATGCAGTTCTGTCATCAGATTGATTTGTTTCAGGGGGAAAAAAGGGAACAAAACGTCTTGATTGTTGTGTGTTTTGAAATGACTCATTCTGAATTTTTAAAATGTGTGTGTGAGACGTGCCATCATATAACACAAAATAGTAATGAAACGAGTCAAAACAAAACCTTTCAAACGCCCCAAATCTATTTTTTTTTTTTTGAATTTTCCTTTGCCGACAATTTTGAAATGTCTGGTGTTTGTGCCGACTCTGAAAGTAGGTCTGTTTAGAAATCACAAAACCCTCCGTGACATGGAACCTCCATACTCTGCACAGCTGTGCTCTATTACATGTCAATGTCGGGCGCTTACATGGCCTTCGTTATCGTAGCATTTGATAACTTTGCAACAGGGCTTTGGAGCTGTGCTCTGGCTCCGCTCCAGCTCCAGGCAAAAACCTGCATATCTACTGCTCCGGAGCTGCTCCGCGCTCCAGCTCCGGGCTCCGCTCCAAAGCCCTGCTTTGCAATCACAATTTTAAACATATATATTCATGCCCCTCCCCCAGTGCTATATGTTTGTCGGAGAAGCCAAGTCCAAGAACTGGGCTTTGTGCTGGCGGCAGAAGGTGGGGAGGTTTGTGAGGGTCCTCACTTCCTGAGAGACTTTATTCCGCTGCCTTAGGCCAACCTCCAAGAAAGTTCTGATTCATGCAGGACCACCAGCTGCTGTAGTCAGGGTAATGCCAACAGAGTCCATTAATAACCAGGCATTTGATGCTGCAGCCCGGAGTGCTCCCAGGAATAAGAGGTAGGGGCGTAGCAGAAGCACAGCAGGTCTGCATAGGGGAGGGAACAAGGGGATTCTAAAAAGCGGGGATATGGGAATAGGGGATAGGACAGCCTGGCCCTGCGGTGCCTGCGTCAGCGGGCTTACGGCTGGGGCGGCAGGTGCTGAGCGGGGGAGGTTTTGTTGTTGCAGAGGACGGTGGGCGAGGCAGGAGCCGCGTCTCACCATGGAGCAGTATGTGCTGCTGGACCCCCGGCAGAGGGCCCTGTACCGGGATGTCATGCAGGAGAGCTACGAAACCCTGATGGCCCTTGGTAAGTAATCGCTTCCTCTTCTCCATAAGGAGCCACGAGTGGCCCCATTCAGGGGTCTTCCTTGCTGGGGAATCTACCTCCTGGGGGGTGTATGAAGCCATCGGAACGGGACAGTGGGTCCCAAGGGATGGTGGTAGCTAGGACGCTACCAATTTCACGGCTGTGAAAAACATGTCACACACTGGGAAATAAGCCCTTCCCCATGAAATCTGATATCCCC